ATTTTTCCTATTTATTTTCCCCCCTTTTTCCTTTCTTTCTTTTCTCTTCGTTTTTTCCTTTTCCTTTCTTTTCTCTCCTCTTTTTTCTTTTTCCTTTCTTTTCTCTTCTCTTTTTTCTTTTTCCTTTCTTTTCTCTCCCTCTTCTCTCCCTCCCGGCTCCTTTCTCCCTCTCTCTCTCGGCTCCCTTGCCCACCCGGGCGGCGGCGGCGGTGGACGCGAGGGGGGGGGGGGGCGGCGGCTTACCGACGGCGGCGCAAGGCGACGGCGATGCCCGGCGCGGCAACGAGGGCGGCGGTGCGGCGGCACAAAGGCGGCGGCGCGACGGCACGGGGACGGCGACGCGGTGGAGAGGAAAAGAGAGGAGGAAGAGGGGTGTGGAGTGGGGAATAATGGAGAGGGGTGGGGGATTTTATAGGGAATAGGGGAAAGGGGAAGAGAAGGAGGGGGGTGTGATGTGACGACGGCGCGGCGGCGCGGGGCGCGAGGCGGGGGCGCGCGGCGCGGCGACGGCGTCGGCGCGGCGACGGGATGGGCGCGCGGCGCGGCGACGTTGGCGCGGCGCTCGGGGCGCGACGCGACGGGCGACGGCGACGGCGCGGCGACAGGACTGGTGCGCGGCGCGAGGCGGCGTCAGCGCGGCAGCGGCGGCCCGGGGCTCAAGGCGCGACGGCGACGGACGAGCGGCGCGGCGTGGGGCGCGAGGCGCGAGCGTGCGGCGCAAGGCGACGCGACGGCGGCGCGGCGCAGCAGCGGCGATGGCGACGGCGCGCGGCGACGTGACGGCGCGACGGGACAGCGCGCGACGTCGACGGGACGGCGCGCGGTGCGGGACGCGAGGCGACGGCGCGGCAGCAGCGACGCGACAGGCGACGGCGTCGGCGCGGCGGCAGTGGCACGGGGCTCGGGACGGCGTGCGCGCGGGGCAGGGGGAGGGTTAGGGCTAGAGAACGCGATCGAGCACTTAGAGCGCAATGAATAGTGCCATTTTCTATTTAACCCGATTTAAGCCTATTTATTTATTTAAATTTGATTCTATAAACCTAAATTTTGTATAAATGAAGTTCACTCGGTATTTGTGTTATTCCAACCAATGGATCCATCCTTGACTAATTTTACCCATATTTTATTTTTATATAATTTTCTTGAATTTAATTAGGGTTAATTCTTATTCCATCACATTTAAATTTAATTGTTACAAATATGGTCGTAATAATATTTTACTTATTTCTATCCTCACCAAATCTTATTTTAAATTGAACTTTAATTATTTACTTTGTCAATTTACTTTTAGGGTTTATTCCTAATTAATTATTCATTATTCGTGATTTATGAACTCCGAAGTCAAAATAAAATAAAATAGTGAAACAAAATCGGCATGATGCAATTTATTTAAAAAGTTTTTGAAGGCCTATATTTTTGGAGTTTAGATTTTTGTCGGTCTAATTTTTAGGGTGTTATAGTAGACTTGTGAATTTTGGCCCAATTCATCGTGTTAATTCTGAGTTTTTATCCCATTCATGCATAAGTCTGATTCTCGACATCGTCCGATTGATTTAACGTCTGAGTTGATGTCGATTCTCCTCCATTTTATGCTTATTCTCTACAAAAGGTTAGTAAACCTAATACTAGTGGAATATTATTATTCTAACATATATATGCATTGTAAGCATCACTAGTTCTCCTCTATTTTGGTAATATTGATGGGCGAAACTGATCGATAACGACCGTCAACAGACATATTATCTATTTTGGGTATAAATATGTACCCGACACCCTCTAAATAATTAACACCATTTCAATACACTTTCGGCACATCGCCAAACCTTTCTATTATTTTATTTCAATGAGTTCTTGCTTTCGAGTTGGGCTGCATCGACTTCGATCTCCGACAAGAGGTAAAGCTTGTTATGGGGGCTTGCGTTCTCGGGATCAGTGGTTACATCTTTATGACACTATAATCTTGTTTATGTAATTCGTCGAGTTATAATATATATTGACTAATCAAAGTTGATATTTTAATCCAGTCCTTATCGGCCGATCTCTGTTTAGGGTTCTATCGACATTGACTAGAATAGTTCGTCGGCTTAGATTATGCAATGTATCTACCATCTTGGAGAGGCTTTCATTGGCTTGTTTACCTAAATCATAAGTTTCTCTTTATACTTAGTGCTGCATCAGTTAAGTTTGATCAACTAAGTCGTATCTAGAAACCTAATATTTAGCTTGCTTCATGATTGCTAATAGATATAGTATCGGAGTTGCAGCTGATCTTACATGATATATCTATTTTGTTTTACTTAACAAGTTATATCTGCCCTTTATATTAGGCTCTCAATAGATTTAAATATATTAAGTTTGTCATCGATCTAGTTAGGTTAATCTAACGTCAAATTGATACTTATTTAACATATTTACTTCAAAGTGATATCCTAGTATAGAGTTATATCGGAGCTATAGCCGATATACTTCTAAATTTGCCTATCGGCTATGACATGAGCTTGTATAATTTATAGCTTGATATAACTTTAGATATAAATGATTTATACTGTCTCGGCGGCTGTCCAATCTATCCCAATCATTTCGTTTAAAGTTATATTGATTCATAGATTATATAGTGCTGATTTCTCCAACCGATAGAGTAAGTTTAGTTACTTTCTTTATCATATCCCTTATAGCCAATCCGACTAACATTGCATCGCCTAGGTCACAGACGATATGTCATCGGCTCTACGACCGATAGGCTATCGTTTATGGATTTAACTTTCTATCTTTATTTACTTTCTTTATCATATACCTTACGGCCAATCCGACTAACATTGCATTGGCTAGGTCACAGACGATATGTCATCGGCTCTACGACCGATCGGCTATCGTTTATGGATTTAACTCTCTATCTTTATTTCTCGTTGGTTGTAGGATCAAACCAACTAACATGCCCTGAACCCTGAAGGCAAGCTTTGGACCTGCACTAGAATAAAGCAAATCTCTTATATCAGTGTGTGTTTTTTTAATTAACAAAAGCGCGAGATCGTGCGGTGTCGTGCGATGGGTACACGATACCGCGGTCTCGCACGACAAGGGTATGAGAGACCGTGTGACCTTGCACGGTAAGTATGCGAGACCGCATGAGTCGCGAGATTAATGGATCAATCAGCATCATCAAGAATTAATTAATTAACTATTATTTATTTAATTAGCATTATTAGCAATTAATTAATCACTTATTAAGAATTTAAGATTGTTAATTACCAACTTGCCGTCATTGCTATCGCACTCTGATCTCGTGATTTCATTGCGATTTCGCACTGCCAAACGGCGATAACGGTCTATTGATTTCGCACTGCCAAACCGCGATGACGGTCTATTCGTGTAAATCTGTTCGAATCTCGTATATTTTTTAAGAAAAAAAACTTCAACAATATATTTTCAAATTCTTTTGGTATGCTTATAGGGTTCTCTTTTAAATCAAACCGAAGAGAAACGAAATAGCTAACTTACTTTTAACCATACTGCTAAACCTTTGTTTCAGCGCAGCGTGTACTTCTATAACGTCTATAAAAGCTGCTGATATCATAGATTGGGAAATTTTGAAGAGTAGTCGATCTTATCCAAATTTTTTTCAATAATGGAATGAAATATTACAGCCTTTCACTAGTACAGAAAGCCCTATTGGTGTCGGTTGGGAAATGGCAATAGGTGCCGTTTTCCCGTCCGGCACCTATTGCTGGTACCGGCAACTAATGGTAAAATAGAACCGGTACCTTTTTGTCTGCACGAGAAAAAAAAAACTCTGGCTCAAATCAAGCCGAAGGCCTCCACATCCAGAACAATATCCCCACATTCAGAATCAAACCGTGATCCCCTCCACATCCTTAGATCCAGAACAATATCCCTACATCCAAAATCAAAATCCAAAGAACACATCAATAACAACAACAATTTCTACATCCATTTAATTATAATGCTCATCTGATCCAAATCCCCATGTTCTCGGTACACATATGAATAAGAGAACTTGAGAGAAATTAAACAAAGAGAACAAGAACGGGATAAAAAGAACACACTCGAACCACAGCGGCATTGAGGATGATGCGGCGGTGACGGGGCCCTTGGGTTGCCTCCTTCTTCCCCTTGAGCGTCGCTAGGATGGCGGTTGTGGACGACTTGCACGTGAGGGGAGGGCGCGGTCGCTGCCGCCTTCGTCGGGCAGCCACTGGCCGCGGGAGACCGACGCCGCCCTCCCGCCGAATCTGGAGGAGGGAGGGCGCGGCAACCGCCAGCCTCGCGAGCCCGCCGCCACCGCCGGGCAGCTACCACTAGAGAGAGGGGAGGGAGAGACGCGAGGCGACAGAGGGGAGGGAGAGAGACGCGAGAGCGAGAGAGCGTGGGAGTAGATAAGGACAAGACGTGGGTGGGAGTAGATAAGGAGGCGTGGCGCTCGGCTCATCGGTTCGGGTCGTTATTATAGGTGTCGGTTCTTTAAAAAACGAATACCTTAGTATTGGTACCGGTTTTTACTAATGAACCGACACCTATAGTTTCTTAAAGGTACTGGTTCTTATTTTTTTGAGCGTGTGGAGGTAGGAAAAGGCCTATAGGTGCGGTTTTAAAGGAACCGGCACCTATAAGGCCGATCCCTATGAGTGTTTTTGTAGTAGGGTTTGCTCAACGAGTTACAGCCAATTATTATAAGGCTCACACAAAAGCAAACCAGAGTAACAAAACCAAAAGCAAATAAAACTAATAAAACCAAACAAGGTAAACATCCCAGAACTAGTGAATTCTATTGGTGAATCTCCACCCAAAGTTGGCAAAGAAGACGCAAGTTTAGGACACGCCTCTCTTATTTGCTTGATATGATCATGCCTTTGTAATTGAGATAATTCCCGGAGCCAATATGTTACCCTGAAAAGAACCTGCAAATATGATTTTTAAGGTGATCTATCCAAATCCATTTCATTTCTATTAAGCCATAGAGCACAACATATAGCGGAAGCTCCAACAAAAATAAGATCCTTGATATTTTTATTAACTCCCACGAACCAATTACCAAACACATGTGATATATTATGTGGAGGGTACAATTCAAAGGAGAATTGTATAGATAAACTAGTTTTTTTTTAAAAAAATATTATGTTTGTGCATACAAAGCATTCTACACATTTCATCCATACACATACATTACTCAGGCTGGACAAAGCAGCTAGCGGATGATCAAATAGTATAGGATTGAATTATCACCGTTCTCGAAAGTGCTTTGTTGGTAAATTAGAAAGGGTGGTTCTGAGCTTCAAATCCTTCGATGGAGCGGTGGACGCTCCAATTCAGATTGCTCCTGTGGCGTCATATCACCAAATATATTGAGACCCCAGGTATAAGACTTGCCAGACTTGTTGAACTCAATGATTTTGTGCGCTCTGTCCTTGAAATACACGAAGCGCCGAACCATGTCATCACGATCGCGCTCTATGTCATGGAAGCTGCACCACCGCTGGTACAGCGCCCAAACGGCTTCCTCTGACTCGAGGTCCTTCTCGTCGTAAGCGAAGCAGGTGGCTGGATCATCTATCGGTAAAATAACAAGGCGTTATTTAAGTTCAAAGCAGGTGGTTGTTTCGTCTATCGGTAAATAACAAGGGGTAACTAACAAGGCGTTAATTAAGTTTCGGTTGGATGATAATGCCATGTACTCTTTGACTCCTTCCATCCGAAAATACAGGGAATTCTCTGTTTGTCACAAGTGAAACTAAGTTTGACTGAATTTATAGAAAAGAATAACAATAGATTCATTATGAAATACTCCCTCCGTTTCGTTTTATTTGACGCCGTTGACTTTTTATCACATGTTTGACCGTTCGTCTTATTCAAAAATTTTTGTGAAATATGTAAAACTATACGTATGCATAAAAGTATATTTAACAACGAATCAAATGATAGGAAAAGAATTAATAATTATTTAATTTTTTTGAATAAGACGAGCGGTCAAACATGTGCTAAGTCAACGGTGTCAAATAAAACGAAACGGAGGGAGTACTAAGTAATAGTGCATGTGCAACGCACATTAGGAAATAAAATCAAACCAAATATGTTGGACGTATGTTGCAGCCTAATTTGTTTTTTAATATTTAGTATAGTATTTACTTGGACTTAATGTAAAAGGCAAAGTGAAAATAATAATTGACATAAATTTATATCACACAATTAAAACTACTAACCACCATCAACAACAACAACAAATACTAATACTGCTGTTAGGAACGTCCCAACATGGAAAAGGAACACAACAGTAATGACCAAAGATGATTTGCGGGAAAAAAACAAATATTTACATATGATTTTAACTACACATGGATCCATTCCCTCAATGAATGTTTAGAAAATGAAAAGGAACCAGTTAAGATTGAGTGTATTCTCGTGTACGGTTGTACCGGTTGGATCAGTGTATAATTTGAGATAACAAGATCACATATTTACATTGAAGGAAAAAGATTGCACTGAGCTTAGGTTTACATAGAAGATTACATACTACTCAGATCCTGCCATGGCCTGCATCATACTACCTGGACATATATGTGTCGAGATTCGTAGCAAGGATTGAACTTTTTTTTTTTGGGACGGAGGGGTAGTTATTATTACCACGTCAATAAACAATCACAATCCAGTATATAGGGTCAACAAGACAACAAGAGTGTGAACCTTACTTTGTGGTGAGTAAACTTTTTATGGTACAACTCTGAACAAACATAATTGTACATATATATTTTTTTTATGGTAACAGAGACCCACATCACAAGTTCGCAATAGTACTGAGGCTAAAATTTTCAAAGTTACTTCTCTGATGTGGTAGATGTTAATATTTTCTCTAAGAAATTTGATCAGCTTAGAATTTGCTAAGAAATTTGATCAGCTTAGAATTTGACTTAGCACAATCCCAGGATTACTTATATGTTAGGACAGAGCAAGTACAAATAAAGATAGTGCAGGGATAGAGTGTGTGTGCTTTAGTGCGTTCGCTAGCTCAGATCAAGGGCCATTGTTCCACTTGTCCGTGTGACTCATGTAATGGGGTTAGCTAGGCCATGTACACAATAAGGCTGCAAATGAAATAAACTGAATTTCTTCACTGAGTTTCTTCTTCAGTGTGTTTTTCTTGTTCCCTTTTCCTTCTCTGTTTCCTATACCAAAATTCTCCTTCTCCCCAAAATAGAACAAGATATCAATAATACTGCTAATAATTCACCCCAAATTACAACGAGTTATCCATAATACTGCTACTAGTCACCAGCTCGGGTCATAACAATTACTACCTCCATATTTTAATGTATGACGCTGTTGACTTTTTGTCTAACATTTGACCATTCGTCTTATTTAAAAAATTTATGTAATTATTATTTATTTTATTGTGACTTGATTCATCATCAAATATTCTTTAAGCATGACATAAATATTTTTATATTTTCACAAAAATTTTGAATAAAACGAATGGTTAAACGTTAGTCAAAAAGTCAACGATGTCATACATTAAAATACGAAAAGAGTACGAGCAATCGGTCTCTCACGAGTTCGGGTCATAACAGATAATCATCATGACGACAGTATCCTTGAAGTGGAGGCAAAATAAAAAAAAAAAATGGCGGTCGATTAGGTTACCTGGAGCTTCAGGGTCAAAGCAATCGGGGGAGAGGTCGGCGGGTCCGGGGGAGTGGTCGCCGGGGATCATCGCGATGCCGCGCCGGAGGATGACGAGTGGGCCCGACGGGGCGTGTGGCAGCTGAGGCCGCGTCCAGGCGGCGGCGGTGCAGGTGGTGTCGCCGGCGTAGCCACACCGAGGAGCAAAGCGGCCCATGTACGAAGCCACATGACGGGCGGCGGCGGCCATGGCAGGTTGATCGGATGTGAGGAGGTCCGGTACTCGATTCCGATCTAGGGTTTCAACTTTGCAATTCGTTGGACTAATTATCCTTGCTTGTGTTTTCAGTTGAGTATGTCCCTGTGGCAATGACACGTTTAGCAAGTCCTTGGAGCGTGATGACCCACAACCAATAATCTTCTTGATCAAAACTCAACGAATGGTTCAATGATTCAATCAGACATTAGTCAATTTGTTGATCTCAATAAAAGAATATAAGGTTATTATCGACAATGAAAGACACCGCCGACAAAATATCCGGTGGCATCGGTTTAGTGATTTTATCATTTTCAGAAAAAATAACAAGCTCAAAATTATTATTTTTTGAATACACTCACCCTTATGAATAGACACACAACTTACTCCTATAAACATCTACGAAGGACTTAGTCGGTATATCATAAAATTAATGAAGTCACCACGGCCACGGGCGCCTCACTGTCGACGTATACATCGTCTACCACTGAGAGAATAATTAGCCTAAATACAAAACTCGGATTAAATTGACCTAACAGAAGTGATGAAAGTGCATTGTAAAATACCAAAAATTTGTATACTGACATATTAGGGTTTAACGGATATTGAGTGGCAAATAAGGGAATTTCAATATATATATTCCCCTGATTTTTTTTAGAAACACAATATAAACGCAAACGCTCACACTCTCACCCCTAAGAACATATACACGCACATTCTACCTTTATAAACACCTTGGAAAAACTGAGCCAATACATCTTGAGGTTAACGAAGTCACCATAGACACATCGTTATCGATGGATATATATATATCGTCTAACACTAAAAGAATAATTAGCTGTAAATTTGATCACCCGTGTCAAGTCTGAGACTTAAATTTCAGGTGAACAAAGGTTCTACCATGAGAAACTTAGCTAGTTGAGCTACGCTCACTTCATCCCCTGATTATTTTTGTTAATCAACCGCTTAAAATTTTGTAAAGTTCACTATGGTCACAATTTTGAGGCAGATGTGAAATATTAAAGTCTTATTACAATAGATTAAAACCATTCAATATTACGTAGATAATATATGCAAAAGATTGAAACAGATCTCTTAACTTTTTGCAGCCGGCAGAGGGGAGAAGAGGAAATGCCCTTCGGCGTGGAAGGGATGTTGACCGAGTGCCACACCATGGATGAGTTCTAGTATCTCATCGAACAGGCCATGGTGTGTGGCAAGCTCGTGGTCATCGAGTTCGGTGCATCCTGGTGTGAACCTTCACGCAGGATCGCTCCAGTTTTCGCTGAGTACGCCAAGGAGTTCGCTGGAGTAGTTTTCCTGAAGTTCGATATCGATGAGCTGGAGGAAATTGCAGACTCGTATGATGTCAACGGAGTAGTACCCACCTTCACCTTCGTCAAGGCTGGGCAGAAGATTGACATGATCCAAGGAGCCAGGTGTGACATCCCGGCTCAGGACTTAATAGGATTAATAGAATACTCATACCAACAAGTTACAACTTCTTTTCCGGAAGCCGCTTCTGGGTGCGCACGAGTGAGGACAAAGTGTGCAGAAAAGACTTGTGTTGCTCTGTGAGAGCATTCTATATCCTAAGAAAACTGCCAGATATAGAGAGGGCCTGGCGGTCACCGGGAAATTCTTCCCGGGTGCGCACGAGTGAGGACAAAGTGTGCTATGAGGGCAGTCTATATCCTAGGAAAGCTGCCAGATGTAGAGAGGGCCCGGCCTCGGAGAGTGTGGGGCGTTACAGATGGTATCAGAGCTGACCCTTGCAGCGTTACAGATGGTATCAGTGCCGACCCTTGCAGCTATACGTATATATGAATATGTACGCGGGCATACGGTGCACACGGGATGATCCACGATGTGGTCGTATGGCATGACGTATGTGCGCCGAAAATTGTCTGTATATACGTGGTGCTAATAGGAGACGTTCCCGGCCTGGGTTGACCGACGAGGACGTCGGTGTCTTAAGGGGGAGAGAATGTGACATCCCGGCTCAGGGCTTAAAGAGGATTAATAGAATACTCATACCAACAAGTTGCAACTTCTTTTCCGGAAGCCGATCTCGAAAGAACTCTAAGGTTACTTCCTGGGTTCATAAGAACTTTCTTAATTCTTCCCGGGTGCTAGTCTGTGTCCTATTAAAGCTGCCAGATGTAACAGGGCCCGGCCTCGAGTGTGGGGCGTCACACCAGGTCTCTCCGTTCGAAGATTCAAATGCACACTGCTTCTCCTTACTTCCTGGGTTCATAAGAACTTTCTTACTGTCTTTGCGCGATGAAGTGGAACAGCTAGTAGTTGTTATTTTGCGGTCGGGACCTTAACATGTAATTAAGAAACCCCACTACAGTGCTCTTTACTAGTGGTAAAAAGTAATCTAAACCATTGATATAATTTAATCGAATGGTTTAAAATCTACTTGTACTGTCACCCCAGTTTGTGGTAGGAGAAACATGAAGGGACATTATTATTAAAAAATAGTTACAGAGGGGTATAATTATCATTTAGCAGTGACTAAACCTTCTAATCATAATATTAGTAAATTATTGATTTACCCTTAATTAAGGTAAGGGGTGTTACCGTGTTAGGCACTAGACACTACTTAAAAAATCCTCATAGGGACCGGCTTATTTAAAACCGGTACATATTGATCTTTTCTCACCTTCCGCGGGATAAAAAATAAAGAACCGACACCTTTGAACAATTATAGGTGCCAGTTCTAAAGAAAAACTGGCACCAATACAATTGGTATTGATTTTTTTAAAAAGAACCGACACATATAATATATTATAGGTGCCGATTAATTAAAAACCGACACCTACAAATTAAGCCGAGCTGGTGGGGCCCACCATGAGAGATAAGGCCAGCGGCTAGACACCTCGATCCATCCAGAAATATTCTAGATCGCTCTATCGCTCTCTCTCGGTCGTTCGCTCCCCTCTCTCTTTCCCTCCCCTCTCGTGGCGCCTGCCCGGGAGGTAGCGGCGCAGCGGCGGCGTCCTCCTTTCCGCCAGATCCAGTGGGAGGGAAACTGCTCCTCTTTTGAAACGAAGAAAGCTGATGTCTTTGTAAGCAGACACGGCTATGAAGCATCAGGCAATTTCTGAAATAGGAATGTGGGTGAAATTCTACAGTAACTGATAAAATGAGTGGCAGATATGTAGTCAAATACAGTTGAGAGGTGCTGCACAGTATCAATTTATCTACATAGTCTTCATAAAGATGTCCTCTGTTGATATGTCACTGCTCAATTGATAACAGTCCTGAAAAAACGCATCTAGTACTGTTCTGCCACATTGAGAAGTAACTTTGAATCTTGCTCTCCATCATGATCCTACATGTGGTTTTCTGCACGCAGTGCTCCACAGGTTGCAGCTGCTCAAGGCAGTTGCTGCTACACTCGGAGGGGAGACCATCTTCCACCACGAGGCATACCAACGCGATACATGTTCAATGGCATGAACCTAGACTCCACAATATATATAACTGTGTCATCAACTCGTCAACCAATCTTTCTGATGCGGACATCACTCCTTCGGATACACACAACAATCCTCCACCGGTCATTCAAGAACCGATAACAAGAGCTCGCGTGCGACAATTGAATTTAGAGGTAAGCTCGTTCCTATGTTCTTCTTTGTATGAATTTGAGAATAGATTGCTACCTAATGATTATATTGTGATTAGGAACAATGGAGAGGACAAAGAGACACTTGGAGAAGGACTTAGAGTTATGGAGGATCATCAAGGACGTCCAAGTCAAGGTGGAGGGCCAAAGCAAGCCAACTTTGAGTGCAATTCGGAGTCCAGAACCAGTCTACACTAAAACGGGCGTCCAGGTCGCATACGTGCTCGGATTGGGGCGTTCTTTATATGGATGGAAGCTAAGAAGATAACCTTTCCAATGGTTCTGGTCCCACGTCCAAATTCTTTCCGAGTCAACGGGAATCGACCGAACAAGTTGACGTCTACAATCTGTGCCAGTGCTGCGTCACCGTATTTAGGCCTTTGGGCTGTGTATCGTATTGGAACCTATTAGGGTTGTGTCAAGGGTTGGTTGCATGACCCTAAACTCTATATATCAGTACCCGCCGTCACCAGTGGCGAATCCAGGATAGAAAAAGAGGGTAGGCTTGATCTCCAAGTATTAAGTTACTACCTCTGTCCCTAACAAATTTTGGCTATGAATTTGGACACATGATTGTCCAGATTTATAGCTAAAATTGCTTATATTTTGGAGTAGTAAATTGCAGTACTTACGGTAGTTATTCAACACATACATGATACATGATTGAATAGAAAAGAAAGAAATAAAGAAAAATACCTTGCCAATACGAAGTAATTGATTACTACATCAGTCATATGAGAATAACAAACACCTATATGCATATACTCCGTAAACATAGTATAACTGCTGCTCTGCTAGTGCTAGCGGCTACTGTGGTGCTGCTCCGCGCGCCGCCATGGCGCCTACTGACGGCTTCGCGCAGCCGCTCCGCCTGCAGCCTGCCGGCTTCCGCGCCTGCGGCCGCCTTTGTTTGCTCTTACTCGCCACCAGACAGCTAGCTACGGCGCTGCAGCTCGAGGCCTCGAGCTCTTGCGACTTGCGTCGGCGTCGGCTGCTCCAGCCGCCACCAGTTGCCAGCGACAGCTCCCACCCTAAACACCCCCAACCCTATCCCCACCTGACCTGTGTGAGTGTGAAGTGTGGGAAGTGGGCCACTGGACTGGGCCATTACTATCGAATTGGGACAACCTGTTAGAATAATTGGGCTAGGCCCAATTTATAATAATTAAATCTCAAAGACCCATAATAAATGTTGAGGATAATAATACCACCTCAGAATTTAAGCGAGAAATATCTCAACCTAAATAGGGAGTTATTAGAGGCTCCCTGTTGACCAGTTGAGGTGGGGGTCGGAATGCCACGCGCGCGCGCGCCGGGCCGTGGGCGAGGCGTGGCGTGGCTGGCGGCGTGCGTCACGTCACAATCCTTTTGCAGCCACTAACCCACGTTCCCACGATTCCCTCCACAACCGCGCTTCCACGTTCTTTCTCCTGATAGTCACGACGCAATCCTTTTGCAGCCACTAACCCACGTTCTCACGATTCCCTCCGCAACAGCGCGTCCACGTTCTTTCTCCTGATAGATAAGGAGGCCGCGAGTCCGATCCGACTTCTTAGCTTTTTTCCCGGTGTTAGTTTCTCCTTCT